CGCCTCCCCTCTGCTCACCAACAGTTTCTCCGTCACTTGGAGACAGAATATTATTAAAACAAACACTATATGAGGGAGATCTGACAATAATCTGACGTTACAGCTGCTGCTGAATGAAGCGTGTAGTTTTAAGGGGAGTTTAGTGCTGCATTGACATGGAATCAGGAATCCGGCTCCTCGGAGGCTTCGTGGCTGCATTTCATTCACGCATGACTGGAATAAGGACATAATGGAACACACGTGTTCTGTTCCCGTAGCAACATGCTGTCAGCGTAACCCAAACAACCGGGTTCCCTCTTCTTTTCCTCCCCTGAACATGTCGATATCTGTGATGGAGGATGAAGCTTCTCCATCACAGTGACCTTCTGACCCCCGGGAGGAGTTTCGCACCCTTTAGTCTTTAGCTCTCACACGTCACACAAGCGGCCCCGGGACTCGTTACCAGACTGCTTGTCATTAACGCGTCTCAGAGGAGGAAGCGCAACGTTTTACGTGTTCTTGGCCCTCAGACCACTTCCTGTCCTCTCCTTTCACCTGCTCTGCTTCCTCGTCCTTGTTCTTCTGCCCTCTGGTCTCCAGGTTGTACGAGCAGAGGAGTAAAAACAGGAGCGTTGAAGGAGTCACTTGAGTCAAATGGTTTATTTGAATACCCTCATTGTTCAACCAGTGGAAAGGAAGTGGCCATTTGAGAATGAAGACATGAAGCACTAAAGCGCTTTACAGGAACGGTCCGTTTCCCATGAACACGAAGCTCACGTTGGTCCCTCTCAGATCTGAGGAACGGCTCGGCCCTCTTCTGGGAGGGCGGAGTCAGCGGCGGCTACCGGGCCCTGCTATTGGACGAGGATGGAAGGTGGCTGCTGGTGGGGGGGAAGGACCACGTCTACCTGCTGAGGGCGGACGGCCCGGACCTCAAGGCGCACGCGGTGAGGACGCCACAGCACATTGACAAGTTAAAAAGAATCCAGAAGACGTCTGACTTCCTGTCCCTGTCCAGCAGGTCCACTGGCCGGCCTCCACGGAGAACGTGCGGCGCTGCCAGCTCGCCGGCAAGAGTCTGCAGGTACACGAGTAAAACGCCGTCACCATCCTGTTAATCGCGCTCACATAACAACCGTTTAGTTTTCGTCCGCTAAGCTGCTGCGGGGCCATGAGGGGGGGGCGATAGCTAGCTAAAAGAACAGGTTTGTGCTAAGCTACGTTAGCTTGCCGTGCTATCTAAATTAGCGTGTTTGCTTTCTTCTGCTGCAAACCGGAACCTTGTGTTTCCTCTTCGTCCCCAGACGGACTGCGCCAACTTTGTGCGTCTGCTGCAGCCGCTCAACAAAACCCACGTGTACGCCTGTGGGACCGGAGCCTTCCACCCGCAGTGCGCCTACCTGCGCCTGGGCCCCTCCCCACAGGTGTTCCCATTCATGCTCCGTCTCTTCGGGAGGTCATGTGACCGCGGTGGAGGTCCTCTGTGCTCTAATGTCCAGTCATGTGACCGTGGTCTCTCTCCGCCCCCCCCCCTCCAGGAGCCGTTGTCCCTACTGTCCCACACAGTGGAGTCCGGCAGAGGGAAATGTCCCTTCAGTCCCACGCAGCCGTTCACCGCTCGATTGACAGGTGGGAACCAGGAAATGAGGCCCTATGGTTGGATTACTATTTCTGTTCCCTCCCCTCGTTGACGTCCTTCCGTCCCCTCAGACGGTGAGCTCTACGCAGGGACCTCCGTGGACTTCATGGGGGTCAACGCTGCCATCTTCCGTTCTCCGGTCCGGGGCAGCAGTCACAATCACATCCGGACCGAAGCCAACGACCAGAACTGGCTCAACGGTGAGAAGCTCCGCCTCCATTATGTTGATGATCACCTGACCAGAACCAACTCCTACATGCCCCCCCCCCTCTCCCATTCAGAGCCCGACTTCGTGGGCTCCTTCTCCATCCCCGACACCCACAGCCCGGACGACGACAAGATCTACTTGTTCTTCAGGGAGCGGGCGGCGGAGGCCGGCCAGTGGGACCAGCGGGTTTACAGCCGCGTGGCTCGAGTCTGCAAGGTACACACGGAATCTATATGTATGAAAACAGCATTCTTGATCTTTATGGAGTGAACATGAGGGGTCTCCGTCCACCAGCTTAAAATGAAGATATTAATTTCATAACAGAGATGTCAGCCATTGTCCTTCTTCTTCTTCATGTCCTTCTTCTGCAGAACGACGTCGGAGGGAAGCGGAGTCTCATCAACCGCTGGACCACCTTCCTCAAGGCCCGACTGGTCTGCTCCGTCCCCGGCCCGTCCGGGGTCGACACGCACTTTGACGAGCTTGGTGAGATCCCCCCCCTCCCTTCCTTCATTCCTTGCTGCCTTCCTTCCTTCCTCTCGGCCTCTTCTTTCATCCTCATTGTTTTTTTTCTGAATTCATCATCTTTGAAGACGAGGTTCGGCCATCAAGAGCTTCCCTCCCTTTCTCCTTCTTCTTTTTTATGAATATACAATGAATACATGTGTAGACTTGCAGAGACAGAGTCCGTATAATGAGCAGTAACAAGGAATGCAGCTGCTTGCAGACCACCGTGGTCGGTGAAATGATGCTGCAGGTATTCGGCGTTTGACTGAATCGGAGGAACTAAGAGCTGTTGAATCCGACCTCAGGAGACCAACGGTTCATGTCGCTGCCATCAAAGGTTAAAGCTCTCACTGTGTCTTCTAGAGGACATCTTTGTTCTGGAGACCAAGGACCCTCAGAACCCGGCCGTCTACGGCATCTTCAGCACCTCTAGGTGAGAGGACGCACCAGTGTCAATGTCCAACACGTCAATGACCGCGTCAATGTCCAACGTGTCCTCACGCAACAGTTCTTATGAAAGATTATAAAAAGTGAATTCTCCTTTGTCAAGTCCAGCTGATCCCAGTCAGCGTGGGCTCTTCAGAATACTGCTTGGTTCCTCAACTACTTGAGGAAGAAAATGGCAGTTTGAGTTCAAATAACTCGATAACTAAATGGCTGCTGATAAAAATCCCAAACCAGAAAAAGGCTCTCTGAGCATTTATTTAAAAAAAGATTTCCACGTGTTAGCAATGTTGCCTGCGGTGTGTTCGGGGACCGTTGGAATAAACAACGTGGTTTTGATGTTGGAAGGGAACTCTTCTGCCCCCCCCCCCCTCAGCTCGGTGTTTCCCGGCTCGGCAGTGTGCGCATACTCGATGGCGTCCATCCGAGCGGCTTTCAGCGGGCCCTTCGCCCACAAGGAGGGCCCCGACTACCGCTGGGTGGAGTACAAGGGCCGCATCCCGTACCCGAGGCCCGGCACGGTGAGTCCGCTCGTCATGAAGAAAGTGGGAGGCGGTTCAGTTCTTCTCACAATCAACACGAGACGTTTACGGGTCATGCACTTAAGCCCAGCATTGACCCCCCTGCGACCCCCCAGTGTCCCAGCGAGACGTACGACGCGCTGCACAAGTCCACCCGGGACTTCCCCGACGAGCTGGTGAGCTTCATGCGGCAGCACCAGCTGATGTGGGAGGCCGTGCTGCCCCTGGGGGGGCGGCCTGTGCTGACCCGGGTCAACGCCCCCTCCGCCCTGAGGAGGCTGGTGGTGGACCGGGTGGAGGCTGAGGACGGCCCGTACGACGTCCTGCACCTGGGCACAGGTGAGGGGGGGCGAGGGACAGCGCTACTCACAGGGTGTGTGTGTGTGTGTGTGTGCGTGTGTGCGTGTGTGTGCTGTCTGTTAAAGCTGCATTCTGTGTAGTGACCAGCAGGGGGCGACTCCTCTGGTGAGGAAATGACTCTACTTCTCTCTTGATTTATTCCCTCAGTAAACATGAGTTTATGGTCTCAGTCTCTAGTTTAAAGTCTTCTTCAATACAGCATGATGTTCATTTAGTGAATTATGGTCCATTTAGAGTCAAACAGACCATAAAGCAGGGGATGCTTTAGGGCGGGGCTACATGCTGACTGACAGGTCTCTAACACAGTCAGAAAAACAGTCAGGTTTTATCATAATTCATTTGAATGAAGTGTTTGTTTGAACACGTGAGCGGTTCTTTTGTGTTGGTGTGTAAAGTCAATGCTCCTTCGTGTCGATGCTCCCAGATGATGGGAAGGTGCTGAAGGCGGTGTCGTTTGTCAAAGACAGCCTGGACATGGAGGAGATCATCCTGGAGGAGCTGACTATCTTCAAGGTGAGACAATAAAAGAAGAAAAAGGTTGAAGACCCCTGTATTATACCATCCTTAAACTGAATGTAGGAAAGCAGGTTTTTAATAATCCATCCATTTTCCTTTTTGTCCTGAAGAGTCAGACTCCCATCCTGAGCATGCAGCTGTCCACCAAGAGAGTAGGTCCATTTATCTTCATGTCTCACTTTCTATCTGTCTTTCACTGTGACTTTTATACAATCATCACCCGGTATGTCGTGACTCTTCTTCGATAAAACAAAAGGGTTGTTTCATACGTGAAATGGATTCCAGTTGAGGGAAACTTTATATTCAAACTAATCGTATGATAATGTATGAGATCTGCTATTGAGTCAGCCTGTCTCACCTCCCTTCTTCTCCCTGTCTCCCTGCCTCCCTGCCTGTCTCCCCATCACAGCAACAGCTGTTTGTGTCCAGTGAGGAGGGGGTTGCCCAGCTGGGGCTCCAGAGGTGTAATCTGTACGGGTCCGACTGTGCCGAGTGCTGCCTGGCCAGAGACCCCTACTGCTCCTGGGACGGCCAGACCTGCTCCACCTACTTCCCCTCCACCAGGAGGTAGGGACGTGTATCTATTACATACTATTTAAGCTGTTACACCCCCCCCTCCCTCCCATAACAGACATCTCTATTGGTTTTGTTTTTCAAAGCCATGCTAACGTCTCCACTGTCCAACCTCCAATTATGTAAAGTGAAGCTAAAGCTTCACGTGTTAAAGCTGCATCCTGTGTGGTGACCAGCAGGGGGCGACTCCTCTGCTCCCATAGACGTCTATGAGGAAATGACTCTACTTCTCTGTAGTGACCAGCAGGGGGCGACTCCTCTGCTCCCATAGACGTCTATGAGGAAATGACTCTACTTCTCTGTAGTGACCAGCAGGGGGCGACTCCTCTGCTCCCATAGACGTCTATGAGGAAATGACTCTACTTCTCTGTAGTGACCAGCAGGGGGCGACTCCTCTGCTCCCATAGACGTCTATGAGGAAATGACTCTACTTCTCTGTAGTGACCAGCAGGGGGCGACTCCTCTGCTCCCATAGACGTCTATGAGGAAATGACTCTACTTCTCTGTAGTGACCAGCAGGGGGCGACTCCTCTGCTCCCATAGACGTCTATGAGGAAATGACTCTACTTCTCTGTAGTGACCAGCAGGGGGCGACTCCTCTGCTCCCATAGACGTCTATGAGGAAATGACTCTACTTCTCTGTAGTGACCAGCAGGGGGCGACTCCTCTGCTCCCATAGACGTCTATGAGGAAATGACTCTACTTCTCTGTAGTGACCAGCAGGGGGCGACTCCTCTGCTCCCATAGACGTCTATGAGGAAATGACTCTACTTCTCTGTAGTGACCAGCAGGGGGCGACTCCTCTGCTCCCATAGACGTCTAGTGAGCAGTAGGTAAACTTCTTCTGTGTGCTACCCAAAAATAGCGACACTTCTTGTTCGATTGGTTTATAGATAGCAAAATGTCAATAGTCAAATTGCCCAACTGCACCATAGTGGGGTAACAATGTGATATTGTTGTTATTAATTGTTTTTAAATGTTGTTAAAGATTTGGGCGGCTTCAGGAGTCTCATGGAGAATCATCTGCATGTGAACAGAGAAAAAATGAATGAAAGAGGATAAATATAATAAATAATAAACTTTCAGACTAGTGGAGAGAAACACATTGGCTGTTAGACCTGTAGACATGTTCCTGTGTGAAGGGCGTGAGGAGAGGACGGGGTCAGAGGGGACAGAGGGGACAGAGGTGGGTCAATGGACACATGACTGAACAGTTCACAAGGCTGGAACAACACTCAGTGTTTGCAAAGCCTGTTTCCTCGTTGCTCCGGGATTCTTCCCCGCGAGGAGCCAACAGAAGCCCAGCAGCAACAAAGAGGAGGAGCCAGTGCTCCAAGACGGCATCATCTCGTCTTTACTGTCCACGCAGTCAGACATGTCAGCATGCAAATATTACAATCGCAGTCAGAATAACACAGGACATCCGTTTATGTGTGTGTGCGCCAGGCGGGCTCGGAGACAGGATGTAAAGCACGGAGACCCCTGGAGCCAGTGTCCCGTCACCGAGGACAGTAAGGACATCCGCCGCCTGATGTCGAATAAACTGCTTCTGTTTGGAATGTTCACCCATGTGCTGAGAAAGGGGATCTACACGCACACAAACACATCTATGATATATTTATACGTTGGTCAACTGACAATTAATCTGTCAAATGCCGCAGATTTTTGCAAAATAACTGTAAACACAGAAGACAATTTTCATACTTTGCTTTTGAATAAATATTAATTAATAATCACCACCTCACCAACGTCACTACATTATACAAAAAAGAATACAGCCCTTAACATGAACAAGCTTTGATACAGACGCCCTCTAGAGGTCAGACTGAGTAACTGCAGGTTTCTCTTGATCAACTGACTTTATTACAATACACAAAGGATGTGATATTTGGTTCATATTGGCTATAATCTTTTAAGCATCCTTTCTGCTGCCATAGTTACAGGGATGTCATCGTTGTTAAGGTTAAAATCAAAACGTCTGCTCGTTTAGAATTGGAATATTCCCACAATTATAATCCGTTTTCGCCCGCCCCCCCCCCTTCAGACCTGGACTCTGCGGAGGTGAAGCCGGTGTTCGCCGTGGAGGGAAACGCCACCTTCCTGGAGTGCGTCCCTCGCTCGCCGCAGGCGGCGCTCCGCTGGACGCTGAAGCCCGCCGAGGACCAGGAGCTCCGAGAGGCGAGTCGACGTTCAAACTGAGAGGAGTCTCTCCTCGGCTCCCCGGATATTCAAACGGCGTATTGTTAATACCAGTCCATCATAGTGTGTCGCCTCTCTCCCCCCCTCAGCTCCCTCAGAGCGGCGAGGACGGCCGCTTCCTCCACACCGGGCGGGGGCTGCTGGTCCAACGCCTGCAGGCGGCCGACTCGGGCCTCTACACCTGCGCCGGCCACGAGCACTCCTACCGCCAGGTGCTGGCCCGCTACCGCGTCCACGTCATCCCCAGCCGCGGCCTGCGCCGCCCGCCGGACCCCCCGGCTCCGGGTCTGTGGAACTCCTGGCCCCCCCAGCAGCTTCCGCCCAAGAGCTACAAGGACTTGCGGCGGCTGGGCGTGGAGCAGGACTGCGAGCAGCTGTGGCACCGAGAGAAGCGGCGGCAGCAGAAGCTGCGCAGCCTGAAGCTGAGGCAGGAGAGCCAGAAGGCCCGGGTGAGGAGGAACAACCCCCCGCAGGCTGCGCTCTGGTCCACGGGGGGGTCGCTGGTCCGCAACGAGGAAAAGTTTCCCCCACAAAGAGAGCAATAACGCCCTCCCGGGAAAAAATGACTTTACTTTGTCCTCATCCAAAATATTTTGCCATTTAGACACAAAAATGATGAACAAGTTCATTCTAAATTTAGAATATTGCATTTGTATTGTGCATTTCTGTTTAAAATAGCTTCAGTTAACACAGAAGAGAGCAAGGCAATGTTACGCTATGAACGCTGTCAACATATTCACCTCCTTATCATGGAAGCTCACGCTGTCTGGGCTCTCTTTAAGAAGCCAGACTCCATTGGTAAAAATTGGGATTTGACCTCTGAACTCAGGAGCTGCTGCTCTGATCAACCGGTTTGTTTGAATCATTGAGTGGCTTTGGTGTTTTAAGGGTTTGTTCACAAACAGCATGAACTCACGAGGCGACAGAGGCGGCGTTGCAAAACATCACAACAAAAACTAGTACTTGTAATATTTTCTTTTCCTTGAATGTTATGGATTTCGGCCACAAGTCAACCATCCTTTTTTTCTGTATAAACAATATATTTCAACCTGAAGATGGCACCAGATTGAAGATGTATCAGGACCTCACGCACAATGCAGACAGCAATATGTAAACTATATATATTTACATATATCACACCGATGTTACGAGCCAGTTATGTAAAGCTTATGAAGTCTGCAGTGGAACTAATAGTTATTATTCACACCCATATGTATTAAATAACTATTTTTTAATAGTATTCTTACTTTGTTTGTTCAGATGAACTTGTATGTTTTTTTACTTACAATATTAATAAAATTGTCTTCATGTGAATAAGCCCCCAAAGGTTGTATATAATAAAAAAAATGAAAACATTCACGGATGTTAATATTTTTTGCAACATAATTAATTACATTTTTTTTACCATGTCATTTTGTCAATATATTTTGGCTTTTTTTGCAAAAAGATTTTTGACCAAATATTTGTTGACTTATTTTCCATGACATTTGTTAACAAGTTTGACTTAAAAACATTTTTCATTTTTTTCACGATATTTTGTTGATCGAATATATTTTTTTATTCCATGACATTTTTAAACCTTATATATTTTACCTTTTGAAAATATTTTTTGACCTAATATTATTTTGGACTTGTTTCCCACGACATTTTCCCGCCCTACCTGTGCGTGAGCTGTGTAGTTGCGTAACGCCAGACAGTGGCAGCGTAGTGTTGCAGACTTACCAATGAAGACACCACAGAAGAAGAAGTGCAAGAGCGTTTCCGGTTTGGACCGTTTGAATCGCACCGATGGATTCTAGTAGACAGTAGCGGATTTTTTGTATTCCTCTCGGCGGGCAAAGGTAAAGAGGAGTTTACTCCAAGCATTTAAGTTTCACTCAAAGTGTTTGTTAACACTGAGTTTAGGTCACTTTCTGTTTGTTCTCGTAGCTTCGCTAGCTAGCCGGCTCATGCTAGCTAAGCTAACGTTAGGTCAGTTGAGACCAATGGTGGACAATCAAACAACTAACGTTAGCTTCATGTCTTCACAGCATCCAGTTGTTTGAATGATCAGCCGGTTTGTCCTGTGAGAAGCTAAGCGCTAGCCAGCTACGCCCGGTGCTATCTGTGGTTGAATAGATTAAAAGTTCTCCTCGTGTTTACCTCCTTCAGTGGGCTCCAAGTGGACCGTCAACTGGGCATCAACAAGGGGGTCAAACATGGCTGCTCCGACTCTACAGCAGCCCAGCTTCCTGCTGGTGAGTCCCTCCTGACCCGCTTGTGTCTCCCCGGGATTCACGCAACGTGCTCATGCATCCATGTGTTGTGTTGTCTGCAGGTCAACCTGAAAAGCGATTCCACCACCAAACCTCTCCTCCAGCGATGCCAAGATCTGGTGAAGATCATCGACGAGTATCCTGCAAAGGTACTGTTACCTTTTTACTTTCGCTTTTAAAGCCACGAGGTTGCTGACGTCACTTCAGGAGGCAGCGTGGACACCTCTTACTATGGCGTTATTATAATTATAATACAAGTTTAAAACAACGAATCAGAAAAGGACAGCAAAGATATTGGGTATACTGAGCACGATCTGCTGTATTCACGACATATTTACCAACTCCTCTGAGGTTCCTTGCAGTACATCGGCCTTCACAGGGAACAGTTGTTCATGATTCATAAATGCCACATGGTCAACGTAGGTGGCACTTCCAACCAAACATTCAGGACGGACCTAAGTAGCTCGCACCAGAGCGCTGTTTTTAGACGGCTTTAAATACTTTTCGCTGGGGGGGGCTTCTCTTTAGGAGCTCCACCTCATCCTCCCTTGGCTGGTGGAGAGCGTGTTCGGCAGTCTGGACGGCTGCACCGCCGGCTGGAACCTGCGACTCCTTCACGCGCGGAGCAACGAGTACAACGTCGTTCTGGAGTTTCTGAGCCCCAGGTAGACCCCCCCCCCCCCGTGTAGCTTTGTTCCTCGTCGGGTCAGAAGAAGTCACTCATTCTTGTCTCCTTGTGTTCTTTCTTCACAGCGGGCCAATGATGAAGCTTGGGTATAAACTTCAAGCAGAAGAGTACAAATATGAAATCCCCGTCAATTATCTCCCAGTAAGAATGTTTGTCTCTCTCGCTCCGTTGAAACCTTTGAAATGACGTTAGCCCACCTAGCGGACCCTAAACCTCTGGTGCGCTGTTTAATTTGGTTTGATTGGTTTATTCGGGCAATGCACATTAATAAAACACTGTAACTGTGTACAGATGTTTCATCTGTCGTCCCAAGTTGTGTGTTTGTTTACCCACCCTGTGTGTCCCGCAGGGTCCCGTTAAGGTCTGCATCCAGCAGGGGATCCTCCCAGAATGCCCTCTGTTCCACAACAAGCTGCAGTTCCCCCTCTCTGGTCTGCTGACTCTGAACCTGGCTCTCAGTATCCTTCCCTGCAGAGAAAACTAAATATGATGTCAATGTTCTACACATCTATGTCTTTTCTATTATGGCGGCGTGTTTAAAATGCCTCGTTTTGTCTGAACAACACCTCAATCTGTGAATATATATATATATATATATATATATATATATATATATATATATATATATATTACTTCAATAAGTGACATGGAAGAAGCAAAGCATAGTCTTGTTGACCCGGCGACCTGACAACCTTTTACTCCACGGCGATGTGACTAGTGACTCAATCAGGCTGTGATCTTGCGTCGAATTCGTCTTTGGAATTGAAGCCACAGATGTTTATGATTTATGACTCCGACTCCAAGTTGTTTTTCCTCAACATTCTGCAGATCCTTTTGAGTTCTTTATGTTCCATTTTGCCTCCTGTCTCATCACGCCAAAGGTCAGTTTAATAAGAAATACAAATGTGTGATATGTAGTTTAAACGTGTTGAAAATGCCGTAGTCGGGCCTCTGTGGTTCGTGCCGTTGGAAGACTTAATGCTGCTTGTTTCACAGAGTTACCCTCAAAGCGCCCACGTGAGCTCCACTGACAGCGCCTACTTTGTGCTGGTGGACACGTACCTGAAGTACTTCCTACCCGGTGAAGGAAGCGTTCCGCCCTCCCCCTTCTCTGACTCCAGAGGCTCCGTCACTGCTCCGTCACCCAGGTAGCCGTGATGGCTGATGGATAAAATGTTTGAAAATGTGTAAACAGGCGCTTTTAGATGATGGTCTGTTTCACTCTAAATGGACCATAAGTCACTAAATGAACATCATGTTGTGTTGAAGAAGACTTGAAACTAGAGACTGAGACATAAACTCATGTTTACAATGTTTACTGAGGGAATAAATCCAGAGAGAAGTAGAGTCATTTCCTCATAGACGTCTATGGGAGCAGAGGAGTCGCCCCCTGCTGGTCACTACAGAGAAGTAGAGTCATTTCCTCATAGACGTCTATGGGAGCAGAGGAGTCGCCCCCTGCTGGTCACCACAGAGAAGTAGAGTCATTTCCTCATAGACGTCTATGGGAGCAGAGGAGTCGCCCCCTGCTGGTCACTACAGAGAACGCAGCATTGCCATTTGGGGAGAATGTTTCCAGACTCGTTTCTGTTTCCACAGATCTTCCAGCGTGTCTTTGGCCGGTTACGGCGTCCACAGCCCGAGTCTCCTGAAGCATCACATATTCCACCAACCGTCTGTCAACGCCGACCCGGCGGCTCAGGAGATCTGGAGGTCCGAGACGCTGCTGCAGGTGAGCCACCACAGTTCTACGGTGCAATAAAGATAATTAATGAATTCATTAAATAAAACCTGTGTGTTCATGAAATATTGATGTAATATAAAGACGTGTGTTTTATTCGTCAGATGTTTGTGGAGATCTGGCTCCATCACTACTCCTTAGAGATGTACCAGAAGCTGCAGTCCCCTCAGGTAAAGGTAAGATACATTTCACACACCCCACCTCTTGGCTGTTAGTCAAACACAAAGACACCAGAGTCTGATTCTAAAGCAGTGTAGTTCCCATTAGCATGAAGCTTCCAACTACTGTGTGCAGACGTCTGAGCCACAGAGCAAGAGACACCGTTAGCGGTTAGCTTCTCCCCCATCCACGGGCGTGCTATGTGTGTGTGTCACTGCGTTTAGCAGCATGTGTTCCCTGTAGCGATGCTTTAGCTTCCTCTCACGTCCTCTGTGTGTGTGTCAGTCACACCCAGTGTGGTGCAGACCCGTCCTAGTGGAGGTCTTTGGGTCATCAGACGTTCTCATAGACGCTACAGTGTTGTTGTTTTAATGCATGAATGTCAGCGAGCGTGATGTTAGAATTATTATAGTCCTGATTCCTCTTCGTACACACAGAGATGAAATAAAGTTGTGATCGCTTGCTTTAAATCTTAAACATTGACTGCAGAACTTTGCGGCACATTTATTAAAAGCAGAGATTCCATTTCCTGTTGATCCGAGTGAGACCTCACGCTGTTTGTTCACCTTCATGCGCCGTCTAGCAGCGACGCACAGCCACAGTCTGAACTAATGGAGGCTGTGTGTCTGACGGTTAAGCTGTCTGGAGGTCAAAAGTCTTCCCTTTGACCCCCCGTGTACATCTCAGCTCTTTAACGTTGACTCGTGTTGTCTTTTGTTGACTGATCCTGTCTCACGTTGACGTTGTGGTGTCCTGTGTGTTTGAAGAGCGAAGCTGTGAGATTCAACGTGTTGTTTGTTCTGGACCTGACAAACATCTTAGTGCTTATTTCTTGCCTCAGATAAAGTCTCACAGCTTTGAGTTCTCTGTTAATAGTGTCTAACATCGGGGAGGGGAATCCTTCCGTGGAAATGATTTAAATGAACCTAAAACCAGTAAAACACAGTCGGTGGAATCCCTTTGATCGTCACCCAAATACTGCTCATTGATTGGTTCATTGATCCTGCAGTGATTCCCGTCCCTGTGACCTGTCGGCGTTGTGTTGCTACAGTCAACATCTCATTTGTCTTTGTCTCCCTCCTTCTTCTCACCCGAATGTCTTCCTCTGCTTTCTTTTCCTTCATTTTGTATTTGGTTGCCACCAACTGTCTCCTGTGTGCATTCCTCCTTCCTTCCTCCCTCCCTCCCTCTCTCCTCCTCCCTTATCGCCGCCCTTCTCTCGCTCCACGCTGCTGTTTCCTCCCCCTCCACCTCCTCTCCCTCCTGGTGGTAACGGGTGGAACAGCTGGCGCTGCTGCAGTACCGCCTCAGCATGTCCAGCATGCCGAGTCAACCCTTCGCCCCACCAGGCTCTGGGACCCTCCACACCTACCAAGTACTTGTACCTTTTCATTCACCCCCCTTCGTCAAGCAGAAGGGTTCTTCTCTGCTGACATCGTCACTCATTCACATCACAGCAGCACCAAAGCCCAAATTAAAAAACACAGTCCAGCTTTTTAAAATACGACCTGCGGACCTTCAGGTCAGTAATTCTGCTGCTGCGATGTGTCTCTTTGATGGTGTACTGATGCCCGTCGGCACGGCAACGCTGACTCGCCACTCCTGAATAACCCACCACGCAAATAACAATTCACTAAGTCATTCACCCGTACGAGCGAGCTCGCTTCCATCTACGAGCTGAGCAAAACAACGATGCCTTTATTAACTTGCATATATTTCTAAGTATGTTTACTTTACTCTGTAAGCGTTTATCACTTCGTACCTCTGAGAAGTAACCCTGTGTGTCTTATACGCATGCTTCTTACCAAGTTTCTTTTGAGTAAAGCAAAAGCTCCTTCTACATCTGAACAATCTCTCTACATGCCAGTCATCTACTTATTGGGTGTATTGATTATGATTGATTTACATATTCAGAGCTTGTTTGCTTGCTTTTTTTTCTTTTGACAAATCAGCTTTGCAGTTTGCGGCTAAAAGAGCACAGAGGTCCCGCCTTCCTCCCAAAGCGTCCCTCTGATGTTAATCCGATAAGCTGCAGACCCGCAAACCTTTTGTCGGTTTGAAATCAAATCATGGGGGTGTAGGGGGGGGTCAGCTGACCGGCCAGCGTCTCTGAGATTGGACTGACTCAAGGAGAAACGGTGATGTCGTGATCTTCAATGAAACATCTTTGAGGTGACGTGATGAGCCTCGGCCAATCAGCATTGAGATCTCCGCAGCGTCTTCATCCTCCTCCTCCTCAGTCCACAGCGGTGCTGCAACGTGGCCACTTCCCACCCTGACTTCTTTTGTGGTGTCCTGCACTTCCTGTCCTCGCCGCAGTCAGAGGACACGTCCAGACATGTTTACCATTATGCAAATGAGGCGATGAGGTCATTTAGCAGCCCCCCCGCCTTCCTGTCACCTTTTCACCCCTCATGAGTTTGCAGGTCTGTTATATTAAGTCCAGATGACTTTTACAGGGAAATTAATAAATTCAGCTCATTTTGTACAAATTCACAGGATTTTTTTTTCCATCATTTTTTTAGTTTAAAGTTAAATATTTAGCAGAGCGCACCGATCTGATGGACGCTTCCCTCTAAACTTCCAACCAAACCCTTCGTAGGCGGAACACCTCTGAGCTCTTTAGCAGAAAGCGCTTCCGGGGCGGCTTGGAGGCTTTCAGCCCGAGGGCTGCGCTCTGATTGGCTGCGCTCTGATTGGCTGCGCTCTGATTGGCTGCACTCTGATTGGCTGCGATTGGCACTGTTGCTCCATGTGACCTCTTGTCTCCCCAGGAGCCGTTCAGCCCGACGGAGGAGCACGTCTTGGTGGTGCGTCTGCTGGTCAAACACCTCCACGCCTTCTCCAACAGCCTGAAGCCCGAGACGCTGTCCTCCTCCTCGCCCTCCGCCCACTCGCACGCCCACACCAGCCCGCTGGAGGAGTTCAAGAGGTCCGCCCTCTCCGCGCTTTATTCTACACTAATCAACACAAAACCTGCATAACAGTTGCAGCGCGCGCCATGCAGAACACACACACTCCTACAGAGAAGCACATGTACAGTTTACCACAACATACACCGAGAGGAAAAAACACTGAGCAAGACAAATGCACATAGTTACATGACCTGGGACGATGCACCATAATAAAACCAAGGAACATTTATTCCTTTGGTAAGAATGCAAACAGCATAAAGTAGAATATTAAAACAAGTAGAAGAAGAAAGTATCCTTTATTGATCCCCTTGGGGAAGTTATTCTCTGCGTTTAACCCCCCCACCCAGTGGGAGCAGTGTGCTGCCGGGAGCAGGTAGGGGTTGGGTGTCTTGCTCAGGGACACTTCGACACGGCACATGGAGCAGCCGGGCTTCAGACCAACAACCCTGCGGTTCCCTCTCTACTCTGTGTGCCACGGTCGCCTCATAAAAGTAAATGTAGAAGCATCATTGAGGACTTTATAGTACATGGCTGAGTCCTGCAGCATGGCTCATGGTCATACAACAACATGCAAGACAGATAAATATGAATAATTATGTCAAAGTCAAAATAATGCTGCATCGTTACAGACTAAAAACATGCCAAGTAAAAGCATCCAGATTGTGTAGAATATCTAAAAATGTTTGACACAGCAGGACACCATTTAGACCGTACTTGTTGTTGACTTTCTCCTTCCTTCATAAAGTAAGTTTCTATTCATGTATGACTCTCAAAGAGCGTCCTCTTGTCCACAGGGTGGTGGTGCAGCGTTTCGTCCAACAGAAACTCTACTTGTTCCTGCAGCACTGCTTCAGTCACTGGCCTCTGGACGCCTCGTTCAGAGCGGTAAATATCCATTCATATTTAGACGTCTATGAGGAAATGACTCTACTTCTCTGCAGTGACCAGCAGGGGGCGACTCCTCTGCTCCCATAGACGTCTATGAGGAAATGACTCTACTTCTCTGTAGTGACCAGCAGGGGGCGACTCCTCTGCTCCCATAGACGTCTATGAGGAAATGACTCTACTTCTCTGTAGTGACCAGCAGGGGGCGACTCCTCTGCTCCCATAGACGTCTATGAGGAAATGACTCTACTTCTCTGTAGTGACCAGCAGGGGGCGACTCCTCTGCTCCCATAGACGTCTATGAGGAAATGACTCTACTTCTCTCTGGATTTATTCCCTCAGTAAACATTGTAAACATGAGTTTATGGTCTCAATCTCTAGTTTCAAGTCTTCATTTAGTGAATGATGGTCCATTTAGAGTCAAACAGACCATAAAGTAGGGGACGCTTTAGGGCGGGGCTACACGCTGACTGACAGGTGTCTACCAGAGACGTGCATGGTATCTCTACGCCCACCTCTCTCCTTATAGGGTCACTTCCTGTTCACTGCCAGTTGTGTGCGATTAGTTCATTGTCCTCGTCTCCGTGTTTAGGTGCTGGAGACCTGGCTGAGCTACATTCAGCCGTGGAGATACACAGGGGAGAAGACCAACGCTCAGCCGGACCAGAACAGAACCGTACCCGACAAGTGGTGAGGTGGATCTCCGTGTTTCCTGGAACGATCCAAAACGCCGTCGCCCTCCGGTTCCTCCAGATGACCTGAGGCCTTTTCTTTCCTCCAGGGAGCCCTTTGTCCAGGAGAACCTGCTGATGTACACCAAGCTCTTCCAGGTGCTGCTCAACAGAGCCGTGAGGACGGACCTGGTGAACGCCAAAAATGCGCTGATGGTCTTCAGGGTGGCCAAAGTGTTCTCTCAGCCAAACCTCGGCGAGATGATCCAGAAAGGTGAGGAGGGAACTGTTTAAATGCCGCGGATGGTTTAACCATCGAGCGTTCCTTTTCTCAGGTGATTTTCTTTCCATATTTGAGTTTTACTTTATATTTAAACAAAAGCAGTGCTATTAAGTTTGAATTTATAAACCGACCACTGAGCGACATCAGCAGATTAATAACCGGCACAAAGAACGGTGTTAAAGGTCAACGCGTCTCCGTCTCCAGGAGAGCAGCTGTTCCTGGAGCCGGAGCACGTCCTCCAACACCGGCAGCCCCGTGGATACCTGACGCCGGGCCAAGGCGGCAGCTTCCTGTCGTCACGGCAACGTGCGGCGACCGACCTGGTGTTCCGGGTGAAGAGCCACGTCTACGCCCTGGAGGGCCAGGACTGCCAGTACAAGCAGATGTTCGGCCCCGAGCTCAGGGGGGCGGTGAGTCCGGGTCGGCTTCCCGGGGTCCCTGTTTTACTGCGCTGGGAGACGTTCGAAGGAGTCAAATCTGAGCGCTTTTGTTTTCTCTCTCCGTGCAGGTCACGAAGCTGATCCAGATCATCGCGCAGGCCCGGCAGACGGCCAAGAGGATATCTGATCACTCCGGAGAGGCAGCGGCCAGCAGCTCCTTCCTCTCCTGGTTCGGAATGGGAACCCCCGACCTCAACAGCACCTTCTCCGGGGCCGAGCCGGAGGAGAGCGGCGAGTGTCTGGCGAAGACCCACGAGTTCCTGGACCGAGCCTTGGAGAACCTGTGTCAGATTTTCAAGGTTTAGCTCACTGTTTGTCACCTCGAGCTTCGTATGATATACAGATGGACAGGTGAGAAAAACCTTCTGTCGCCTTGTGTTCTGCAGCTGAATCAGGGTCAGCTGGCTCAGCTCATCTCGAACCTCGGCTCCTCCCAGGACGACGGCCACTGCAAGCAGCTGCCGGACTGCATCCAAGGAGAGAACGGACTCGTCCTGACGGACCTGGGCAGGAAGCAGGTCTGTATCTCCAGAACCGTGTTAGTGACTTGTTTCAGAGCTGTGGGTCGAAGCGACAAAGACCTGAACCCCCCCCCCCACCCAATCACCACCACCCCCAATGCCTTTTCTGTGCAGATCATAAGCGGACTGCGCAGGTTCGACATTCAGTATCAAGGAGACCCGGAGCTGCAGCCCATTAGGAGCTACGGAAAGGCCTGCTGGTCCGGCTCTTCTACAAGATCTCTTCTCTGGTCAATGAGAGAGTGAGTGGGGCTGTGTTATAGAGACGCTGAGAGACACTGATGTGTGTTATAGAGACGCTGAGAGACACTGATGTGTGTTATAGAGACGCTGAGAGACACTGATGTGTGTTATAGAGACGCTGAGAGACACTGATGTGTGTTATAGAGACGCTGAGAGACACTTATATGTGTTCAAGAGACGCTGAGAGACTTGATGTGTGTCTTTGAGACGCTGAGAGACCACGATATGTGTTTTAGAGACGTCTGAGAGACACTGATGTAAGTTATAGAGACACTGCCATGTGTTATAGAGATGCGGAGTGACACTGACATGTGTTATAGAGACGCTGGAGGACACTGACATGTGTTATAGAGATGCTGAGAGACACTGACATGTGTTATAGAGACGCTGACGTGTGTTATAGAGACGCTGACGTGTGTTACAGAGACGCTGACGTGTGTTATAGAGACGCTGACGTGCGTTACAGAGACGCTGACGTGTGTTACAGAGACGCTGACGTGTGTTACAGAGACACTGACGTGCGTTATAGAGACGCTGACGTGTGTTACAGAGACGCTGACGTGTGTTACAGAGACGCTGACGTGTGTTACAGAGACGCTGACGTGTGTTACAGAGACGCTGACGTGTGTTACAGAGACGCTGACGTGTGTTACAGAGACGCTGACGTGTGTTACAGAGACGCTGACGTGTGTTACAGAGACGCTGACGTGTGTTACAGAGACGCTGACGTGTGTTACAGAGACGCTGACGTGTGTTACAGAGACGCTGACGTGTGTTACAGAGACGCTGACGTGTGTTACAGAGACGCTGACGTGTGTTATAGAGACACTGACGTGTGTTATAGAGACTAACCGGCGATCATATTTCCCACAGTTCGGTGGTCACATGAACGCACTCTGCTCCCGCCCGGACCTCCTGGGGCGCCTGGGCCGCCACTACCTGGCGGCGGACCCCGACTCCTCCGCCAGGAGCCCGGTCCCCCGGCCCCCGTCGGGGGCACACCGGCGGGCTCGCCTGAGTCTGCGTCCGCTGGCCAGCTACCGGACGCTGCTGCTGCTGCTGCTCGCCTACGCCACGGGGGCCGCGCTGGCCTTAGGCCCCGCCTCCTGCACCCTGCTGCTCCTGGTGGGGGGGCTCCTGTATGGACTCCTCGTGGCGCTGCTGGGAGACAAGCTGAAGACGCACTAGCTGAGCAAACGGGGGGGGGGCACGTCGGAAAATAAACTTTAAAACATCCACGCAAGGAATTTGAGTCTAGTTTTCAAGGTTTGCAACAAACTAATATCATTTTTAGTTTTCTCTTTATAACGTCACTGGCGTTGTGATGTCATCAGCAACAGACAACACATTAAACATTCTCTGATGTTCACATTTTTTAAACAATGTTTTTTCTTTTTTTTACCTAAAACTCTAAAAATGATTAATTAATGGTGAATAGTTTGCGTTAATGACGACCAATCGCTGCTGTCAACAGTCACAGTGGAATAAGCCTCTAAAAGGACGACTTTGTTCGGCCTCATTAACCATATAAACAAATACATAACCTGAAGCTTTTGATTCGCATGAAGACGCGTGAAGGCCAAAACCTTTTTATTGTCAGTGAGAGCTGGACGCTTTGGTTCCGATCCCACAGACGCAATAAACCATTTGCACTTGTTTGTACTTCTGTTGTCCTCATTTATTTATTTCATGATGAATCTCATATTGTGACCTCATAACATTATAACCATAGGACATGATGCATTCATGTTAAATAAACATGAATAAAGTAGGAACAGCATGATGGTGAATCACAGAAGCTGGACCTTGAAGGCCTGATTCCATATGGAAAGGTGATGTTGAGATGCTAATCTGAGTCAGGTAGCTATGGACTATGGACAGCGTTTGATGTTATCTTTGATGGTTGAGCTTTAAGCATCCAACCACACTTTCAATTGCTAATTTCCTTTTCTGGACATCCATAACCATCAGAAAAAATATTTTAAAGAAAATAAATTGTAATAGTAAAAACAAAAACATACAATATAAAATGGTAAAATGTTTATTTGCAACGTTTTGTGTACACACCTTTTGGGGTTACTGTTCTAATCAGAAATGTTTAATGAATTAAATATTGCTTCAGGTTCTGATGCATGTTGAGTTGGGGATTGAAATGGATAGTTGGGGTCAATAATGTTTTTTAGTCAAAATCAAGAGACAGATATTCAAGGCAACATGTATTTTTCGCTTGAAAATAAGTGATACTTTCAAAACATGTTTTAATTTAAAAAAAACTTCTTTTGAATTTTGAAAATTCTCTTGGTCACAGAAAAACACCAAAGAAGAAGCGCTACCGGCAGCTGCGCCGTGAAGCGTCATCAAACGTCGACGCCGCTCGGTGACGTAACTCGCAGTCGCCGCGAGAAGTTTTTGAAAATAAACGTGATACTTTTTTTTTGCTTCACGTTTCCTTAAAACGTTTCTCTTTTTCTTTCCGTTAATAAAACCTAAATAACACCGTGTGCAGGATTCGTCCAGACGGAGCGCTGAGCGGAGGAGAAGCCCGCGGGAGACGACGACGACGCAGCGGCTCTTCAGGTGAGTTCGTGACATTTAGAAGCCGTGGAGCCGCTAGCTGGAGCCGTTACGAGCGTCCGACACGCGGCCACGCGCCGCCGCGTCGCGCCGTGACGCGGGTCCCCGTGGGCCGCGGGGGGGCAACGGTACACCGACTTTACACACGCCCGAGCCGCCGGGAAGCCGAGCTAGCCGAGTGGGCTAAATGTCACCTCGTTGAGCTAAAAGCTCCAGCAGCAGCTCCGCGCGAAGCGGCCGCTCCTCCCCCCGGGCAGGGGGCACTATTGGCGGGTTTGTGTGTCCCGGAGCGCCCGCTGAGGTTTCCCCGCGCGGTGGTCTCTCTAGGAAAGAACTCTTATATACTCTTTATAGAGGTGTTACAGGTGGAGCAAGTACTCAACAATGTTGTCATCAAAATATGATTACGAAGTACTAGAATAAGTTGTTACAAACGGACTTAATTAACGTTAAGTAATGTTGGTGAAACAAGCAACACTCTCAAAAGTATTAAAACATACTGTTACCTGAAAACTAAGCAAACTGCAATACTCTTTGTAGTCGAGTATCAGTAATACTTGTGTATATAACTGTACATGTTTTATTACTATTAAATTCCTCAAAGGTTCAAATGTGAACTTTTGATAAATACTCAGCACGTAGTAACTAATTAATGGCAAATAAATGTTGTGGAGTAATGTATGAATCATCTGCAGGTGTTGATTACAGCGTCTCAACACCAACATCTGACAAAGTGAAAGCAGTTTTTCTCCGTTTCCACCTCTTGTCCCTCCTCGTGTCCCTCAGGCCTCGATGTCTTCCCCCGAAGAGGAGCAGCCCGCGGCTGCGTTTCCCGAGGCCGTGTCCGTGGACTCGAAGGCCGACCTCGTCGTGCTGCTCGGCGAATGGGAGGAGGCGCAGCAAGGAACCACGGAGCAGCTGGTGTCCATCCTCACAAAGTCAGCAGGGGTTTAGTCTCCGTCTCTTTTGTCTCATATACCTCCGGTGTCTCTCATCTCTGTGGTCTGGTCTCTCTTTCGTCCCCCATCCAGAATCTCTGAGCTGATTGAGAGGGAGACCGGAGAATACCACAAACGAGACCCCGACCCGTTTGACGACCGTCATCCAGGTCGTTGTCCACCTCTCTGTTGACGTGGCTTCTGAAGGACGCCTCCGCTCTCCTGTGTGGGAGCGAAGCTCCGGCTGACTCTTCTGATTGGTTGTTGCAGGACGAGCGGACCCGGACTGCATGCTTGGACAACTGCTGAAGATGCTCTTCATGAATGACGACTTCACTAATGCGGTGAAGATTATTTCTATTCAATTTATTCTTTATACCCTCAAAGGCATAAATCTAATTTTGAAATTTAGGATATTAGACGGGAGAAGATTTGAGTTATCGAAATCTTTATTAATCTTCTGTCAATAAGAGTTCACATTTGTTAGTCGCCGTAGTTTCTCTGTGAATTAAAGCGGTATTCTCAAATTTGTGTTTCTCCGTTATTCACAATTTAAGTCAGGAATTATTCTGCACTTTGTATGTGGGCCTAGATTCAACTATTTATTGTCTTTCTAAAACTATTTATTTATGGATACAAAACCTTTAGGAATATGTTTCTATTATATTAAACAATATTACTATATATTTATATGACATGTTGAGTGACGTCATTGGAATAATTGCATACAATTATATTTGCATATATTTCTCTGTTATAAGTTGCCTTCACTTTAAAATAAAACCTAATCCACATGCAGCGACGTCTTCAAAAGTTGTATTCATGTAATGTGAACAGAGCATAAAGGCTGCTTTGCTTCCCCAGCTGATGGACACGTACATCATGACCAGCGGGGAGCTGAGCCTCAACACCGCCGCCTGCCGCCTGCTGCAGAACATCGTGCCGGGCCTGGAGACCGCCGTAGTCTTCCAGGAGAAGGTGAGACCTGATGTTGAAGCAGAAGATCTCTGAGGTCGAGGCGACGGGTGACGTCTTCCCACAGACACCAGGACGTCATTAAACACGGCGGACAACGTCTGCCTCCGTCAGTCAGAAGCTGTGTCTCATTTGGTGGGCTGCATCCTCATGAGGACCCGGCCTTCCGGTCTAGGTGGGCTGGCCCTCCGACGGCTGAACCAAGCCGTCTCTGAATTGGGACGGTCTGGCCTACTTGGGGACTGTTTGCGCCATCAGCTTTAAAACCCCCAAAACATATAAATGTGTGTTGGTACGTTGATGTTCATGAGAAACCGAATGGGGACCAGGCGGGTTTGGGGGAAGGGAGCATGTGTAAGATACATTTACCAGTATCATATCGTACTTGTGGTTTTGTTTAGAATTCGTATCGGGTATCATGGTTTTGTATCAACGTCATCATTTTGGCATCGTGACAGTTCCTCCCTCTTACTGAAGCTCACACTTGTTTTCGCCGTCTCGTGCGGCATCAGAAGACATTAAGCAGCTTCATGCACAAACCTCCTCACTCATTCATCATTCTCACTGAAAGTTGGGGAAGGTTTGAACCTGAAAGTCAGCCAATCGGAAACTAGAATCCTGTCACATGTCGACGTTTCTTACAACAAAGTTCTTCCTCACTGAAACACATGAGCACTTTAACCCTCGCCCCATAATTCAGAAGGCTGAAGGCCCTTTAGTGAAGTCGTACGCAGGTATGTTGACCCTGAAGCCTCTGGGTCATGTGACAGGAAGGTCTGGTGGAGAAGCTGTTCAGCTGGGCCCGGGAGGCGAAGCCGCCGCTGTGGGTCTTCGCCACGGGTCTGTTGGCTCGAGCCATGAGCAACCAGGAAGTAGCGGCGAGCCACCGGGAGGAGAACGCTCAGCTGGTGGGTCGCGCACACACACACACACACACACACACTCTCTGTTCTCACTCTTTAAATCCCTCTACGTGCTACTGTAGAACATGTAAAAAGATTCAGCTGTGTTGGTATAAAATAGGACCGTGTATGACCTTTGACCTCCAGGTGCCGATCATGATCCGCCGTCTGCACGAGCTGCAGAGCAAAGAGGCCAAGACGCCCCGGGACCTAACGCAGGTCTCCCCCGTCTCCGGGATGGAGGGGGTGGAATCGGGGGGGGAGGAGGGAGAGGTGAGCGGGAGCAGCAGGACGGGGTCGAAGGTCAAACCTCCGCCGTGTCCGGCCCAGAAAAACGGCTCGACGAGGCTCCTCCCCGACTTCGTTTTCCAAGCAAGGTCGTCCAGGGAGACGGAGGACAGGCAGGAAGGAAGAGGAGGAGGGAGGAGACGGGCGGTGATGGAGTACGGGAGGAAGGCAAAGCAGAAGCTCAAGTACTCCTCATCCTCCTGCAGGAAAGGGGAGGAGGAGGAGGAGAAGCGGGAGGAGGAGGAAGAGGAAGAAGGGGAGAGGTGCGATTCCAGCGATTTTCCGGCCGGCAGCAGCGGCTCCTGGTCAGAGATGAGCTCGATGGTGATTGGCTCAGACTATTGCCTGTCGCCGCTGAGCCCGCCCACCGAGCAGAGGCTCATCCTGCAGTATCTGACGCCGCTGGGAGAATACCAGGAGGTGAAGTTCTCAAACTCCTCACTCTTTAGTTGTCCTGCTCACTCCTTCCTTCTCCTCTTCCTCCTCGCTCTTTACTCCTCCTCCAAACGCTTTCCTCCTCTTCCTCTTCCTTCTTATTTCTCTGCAAACCAAGCAGCCAGGTGCATGCTGGGTAGTGCAGCATCCTCAGGTCGTAGCTGCTTTAGCTTAGCTTCCATCAAATGTTTAATTTGTTCGGTGAACACGCGTGTATCTTATATACATGTATAATACATATATACAGAACACACACATTGTATATAAACCACGATGTACTTTAAGGTTCCCTCTGTAGATACAAACCATCTAAACCACTAAATGTTCTTTAAACATTGTCATTGATTTGTTTTGCGGTTTATTCATATTATGTGTCGATGGCGCCGCAGTAGAGACGGAGCGCTGGGAACCGCTCGGTTGGCGGTTGGCGCCCCGGCTGCCCCCTGCCGAAGTGTCCCTGAGCAAGACACCTGACTCCTAACTGCTCCCCCGGTAAAAAGCCGTGGGTTAAAGATGTAACGTCTCATCCTCTCACGTCTCGTTTCCCTCAGCTGCTCGCTGTCTTCATGCAGCTGGACACTCGCTCTCTGCTGATGAACTACATCCACCTCAGGAGGACCAACAAAGTGCAGCTGACCTTCGACGCCCTCCTGGTGAGTCCCTCCTCCTCCTTCACGCACCCTAACGTCTACTCCTAACCACTATTGTCAAGTTCTCCCCCGGGCTCCTATTTAAGGTGGTGCAGTTTCCCCACGTTTCTTTTATCTTCTACTTTTTTTTTTTTTTTGAATATATTCTTTTTCTTTTTGGCGCCAAGCGTCACTTCAGTCTGTGCTGTCGTCCCAGGTGAAAAACCTTAAATTAGCAAAACAGAACTCCTACTTCTACGCGCAGGCACCCGTGACGGTCCGTGCTCGACCCAGATTCCATAGAGACCCCCCCCGCCCGCCCCCCCACGTGATAGTGATAATTTAACCCCGCCCCCCTTTACCTGGGTCCCCCCCCATCAATTCACCTGTCGTTGCTCTATACATATTCAACGAGAAGAAAAACCTTGTTTGACTTAACTATGCCTTGACCTCTGTGGAAAAGGTCACGGGGTCAAGGGAAGATGGTTAGTTGATGAGGAGTTAGGAAGGGACACCGTGGTGAATCGACGCCACTGAGCTGCGTAGTTGTGATGGACGGAGACGCTCGTCGGGGACAGAAGCGTCTCCGATGCTTCATGTGTTGTCAAAGCGCTCTTGTCAGGTGGCCACTTCCTTTCTCTCAGTGAGGAACGTTTGACCATTTGAATCCAGGCAACGCTTCTCCTGTTCCTCCTACAGACATTAACTCCTCCTCCTCCTCCAGTATTTGGCGTCGCTGCTCCTCCATAAGAAGTTTGCTGCAGAGTTCATCGCTCATGGAGGCGTCCAGCGGCTCCTCGACATCCCGAGGCCTTCGATGGCGGCGACCGGGGTGTCGCTCTGCCTCTACTACCTGGCTTACAACCAGGACGCCCTGGAGAGGGTACACACACGCACGCACACACGCACGCACACACACACACACACACACACACACACTCTTTATATTTCATCTTCTATATGACTCCCTAAACATAAATCAGATTATGTTAAAATCCTCTACGTCTGAGCTCCTCGGTGGATCATCCTTGATTCATGTGTCATGTGACCGTCAAAGCAAAACTTCAGGAAGTGATGAAAATATGTGAATAGTTCAATATTTATAACAAGTGGTGCCTCCCCTTTTTTCATGGTCACCGTATCAGGCCTCCGAGGGGTCATCGCCATGGCGATAACCTCTGTTTGTTTTCTGCCAGGTGTGCACGCTGCCGGGCGGCGTGCTCTCCGACGTGGTCTCCTACGCCCTCTGGCTGCTGGAGTCCTCCCACGCCTCGGGCGTTTGCCACGCCACCATGTTCTTCTCCATCGCCTTCTCCTTCAGGGCCGTGCTGCAGCTCTTCGACCGGCAGGACGGCCTGCGGCGCCTCGTCAACCTGGTGCGTTAAAAACACACATCGGAATATGTGGTCGCGTAATAACGGGAACAATGAAACCAGACATAAACAAAGTGCCTAAGCAACTAGTTAAGGCGCCCAAACGCTGTGTGTGAACCGTCTCTGTGCAGGTGAGCACGCTGGAGATCCTGAAGACGCAGAGCGAGGCGGCGGTGATGAGCGACGATCAGGTTTTTGCCAACCGGCAGACGGCCAAACACACCTGCATGGCGCTGCGCAGGTACGACCACATGGGGGGGCGGGACTAATCGCTGACTTGATTTCAGTGAATAGAAATGTTAAATAGTGAAGCTGGGGAGGAAATAATTGGATAACTTTTAGATCTCTACTCGCGTTCTTTTATTCTCTATTACTAATTCTAGATCACTGATGATCCGTTTAAACGGATCTGACCTGCATGGATCCACAATTGTTATTGATCATTCAAAAAATCATCTTCAGTAAAACACATTGAATAAATACTTTGCTTTGGTTCCTTTTCATAACTATTCAAATGATGTTAATATTAACGAGTAACCGGGTCGTATTTATAATGATTTGCTCGGGTTAAAATGCATGTGAAAACATCTGGATTTATTTTTGTCAGTGAAGAAAAATATAAACCTTCTGAAATCGTTTTATTTAAATAAACAATCCTATTCTCCGTATGTGGCACATGTCCAGCGTTATTATTAGAGAAGACCTTTCTGTCTGTAGTTTAATGTCTTTAAACGCGTTGTTTTACTCCTCGCTGAGGTCCTAAAGGGGTTCAAGGGTCACGTATTCATGCACCTGTTGTGTACACTAACTCCGCCCCCCAACGCCGTCGCTCAGGTACTTTGAGGCTCACCTGGCGGTGAAGGCTGAGCAGGTGAAGCAGTCTCTGCACACGTCGGACGAAGGCACCGTGGTCCCTCAGCAGCCCTTCTACAAGGTACCAGAGAGGCTGTGGAGGAGGTGATGTGTTCATCTCAGACTGTAGTGTGTGTGTATAAATGTGTGTGTGTGTGTGTGTGTGTGTGTCCCAGGCCTACACCTACACCAGGGAGCAGGTCATCGAGATGATGGAGTTCCTCATCGAGTGCGGACCTCCTCAGCTGCACTGGGAGCCGGTGGAGGTCTTCTACAGGTTGTCCTGCGTGCCCCTGATGCTGCAGCTCATCTCGGCTGCCTGCGACTGGAGGACCTACTACGGCAGGTAAAGGGGCGGGGCCGCTGGCGACGACGACGCTGCTTAAAGGGCCGGTGGCGATGTTTAAGAGCGCGATGGGTCTTCTGCATCGTCTGTGTAGATGGAGCAAAGCGGCCGGATTACTCGGGTCTTCTCCGTGTTTCTGCCGTCTGTTAGTCTGTTTCATCGTGTCGCTTCCTCATCTTCCTCTTGGTCCAGGAGCGACACGGTGCGCTACGTCCTGGACATCATGGCCATGCTGGTGGTGGTCCCGAAGGTCCAGCTGGTGCTGGCGGACGCCGTGGAGGTCCTGGATGAAACCAGGTCGGCCGTCTCCACCGTGGGTCAGTAGAGCTGCAGCGCCCAGCTTCGGCCAGTGCGGGTCGTTTGTTTCACCTGGTCGTGCATTGATTGTGCGTGTGCGCAGGTATGAGCATCGTTCTGGGCGTCGTGGAGGGCGAGGTGTTCGTCAACGACGCCGAGATCCAGAAGTCTGCGCTACAAGTAAGCGGACAGATTTGTTCAGATCCCAGAGGACGAACTGCTCTGCTTCCGGAGCGGCTCACTAGAAGTCTACGAGGAAGCAACTCTACTGTCATGATGGTTATTTAACCTGCTGAATCTCACTGTCCCTTTAAGGACCATGAGCCCTGATCTCTCTGCCCCCCCCCCCCCCGCCCCCCCTCCCCTGCTGCCAGGTGATAAATAACTGCGTGTGCGCTCCGGATCAGAGCCTCAACACGGTGAGCGCGTTCGCAGTCGCCCCCCTCAGGCAGTCGCTGCACCCCGAGCAGCCCCCGGCGCCCCCCCACAACCGCGTGCTGGCCCACATGTGGCAAACGGTGCAGAACAACAACGGCATAAAGGTGAGCGCTAGGAGGAGCCTCCCCCCCCTGCAGTTAGTCTCCTCGAATGGGACGTAATGCTGACCCCCCCCCCCCCCCCCCCCTCCACAAAGGTGCTGCTGTCTCTGCTCACGGTGAAGATGCCCATCACGGATGCAGACCTGATCCGCGCTCTGGCCTGCAAGGCCCTGGTGGGTCTCTCTCGCAGCGCCGCCGTCCGGCAGATCATCAGCAAGCTGCCGCTGTTCACCAGCTGCCACATCCAGCAGGTCCGTAACGCCGGCGCCACGATGCTCGCGGGGATGAACCCTGATTACTTTGGTGATCCTCTGACTTTTTGACTTTTCATCTTCGTTTGCAAACTCTCCCAATATTCTTAAAAACATCATTTTCTGAACTAAATGTTTTGTTTTCATAACATTAAAGTGCGACACCAGTCATCAAAAATACTACATTTAAGTTTTAAGTTAAACAATAATGGAACTGATGTCCTTTGTTCCATGTGATGGTCATAGTTTCACTAAGAGCTTCATGTTTTTAGCAGAATGTGGTTCTTTAGAGGACGGGATGAAAGGCTCCGTCTGCAGCTCCGTTGTGGTGTTTTTCCGGGTGGAGGCGTTAATGCTCCGCTACTCTTCCCCCCTCAGCTGATGAAGGAGCCGGTGCTGCAGGACAAGCGCAGCGAGCACGTGCGCTTCTGCCGCTACGCCGCCGAGCTGACGGAGCGCGTGTCGGGCAAGCCGCTGCTGATGGGCGTCGACGTGTCGCTGGCTCGCCTGCAGCGGGCCAACGTGGTCGCCCAGTCGCGCATCACCTTCTCCGGGAGGGAGCTGCTGCTGCTGATCCGCAACCACCTGCTGGCCAAAGGCCTGCAGGACACGGCCGGCGCGCTGGTCCGGGAGGCCAACCTGTCGGGGGCGGCGCTGTGTCCGAGCTCCTCGTCCTGCGTCACCCCCCCGCTCTCCTCCTTCCCCGCCGCCGCCGCCATCCCCCGGTCGTGCCGCTTGGCCGGCAGCATCGCGGCTCGCGTCGCCGCCCACACCGGATCGTCTCCCGTCTCCTCCTCTTCCTCCTCCCGCTGCCTCGTCGCTCCTCACCCCCCTTGCTCCTCCTCTTCGACCTCCGCCCCCCCGCCGCCTTCTCCCCCACCTGCTCCTTCTGTCGCTCACGGTCAAGCCTCGCATCCCGCGGGGCGGATTCTGTTCACGCGGGAGCGGCAGGCGGCGCCGTGCAGCTCGGGGAGGAAGCTGCGGGCGCTGAAGCAGAAGTCGGACCACGGGGCTTTTATCCAGGTCGCTTCGCCCGCTTCTCTCCACCGTAAACTGTTAGATGGTCGTTCAGTAGTTGTGTCTGCAAAATGTTTGACGTTTAACTTCATGCAACATCATGTTTTATTAATTCAAAATGGAATCTTTCGCTCTGGATCACCGGAGTCGTCTTTTCTCTCCATCAGACTCCCGCCATGAAGAAGCAGCCGGAGCGCCACATCCCGTCGCCCCCGACCCTCGACAGCATCATCACCGAGTACCTGAGGGAGCAGCACGCGCGCTGCCCCAACCCCGTCACCACCTGCCCCCCCTTCTCCCTGTTCGCCCCCCACCGCTGCCCCGAGCCCAAGCAGAGGAGGCAGGCGTCCCCCAACTTCAGCGCCCGCCTGGGGAGCCGGGTGCTGTACCCGAGGTACGGGGGCGTGGACCGAGGCTGCCTGGACCGGCACCTGATCTTCAGCAGGTAGGGGGCACGCCTGTTGGGGGGTAAAAGATTATCATACAATCATACAAAAGAAGGGATAAAATGCAAAAGTGTCGTCTCCTGTTCCTCTGATTTGTGGTCACATGACTGTTGGTCACATGATGAATCAATGATGGAGGAGCTCAGAATGATTAGAATGAAGTAAACTGTTTATATGTGAAGATATTTTAAATTCTATATTCTCTAAATACATTTTAAGCTTTGTTTCATTTTCAGACTGAACCGTTGTCCCACGCGGTGCGTTCAAGGACAGTGTGAAATCTGACAATATTCAGCTTCTGGCTGATCATCACCTCTCTTTAAATCTCAGGTTTCGTCCGATGTCGATCTTCCACGAAGGCGACGGGGACGAAAGCGGCTTCACCTGCTGCGCCTTCTCCGCCCGCGAGCGCTTCCTGATGCTGGGAACCTGCTCGGGTCACCTCAAGTTCTACAACGTCTTCTCCGGGGACGAGGAGGCCAAGTACACCTGCCACTCGTCGGCCATCACTCACCTGGAGCCCTCCCGGGTGGGTGGAGGGGGGCCGGGGGTTAGAGAGTCGAGTCCGTCCAGACGCTCCGAAGCAGACGCACAAAGGGAGGGAATGAAAACAGTTTACAGGACCTTTGTTCCTGTATGATACCGTTGATACACGTTCCTTCATTCACAGGGTTGGAATCAAGTAGTTGAGTTGAGATTATTTGTGGTTCATTTACTGCTCGAGATGTTCGTGAGCATCGAGCTACGCCTCCACTGAGACGGATTCTTTCAAATCAAAGCCTATTAGACCTTTAATGTGTGTGTTATCTGTCCCAGGACGGGAAGCTGCTGCTCACCTCGGCCTCCTGGAGCGCCCCCCTGTCGGCCCTCTGGAGTATGGACGGCGTCTTCAGCCTGAAGTAGGAGAGACACACACGCGCACGTTTAAGCTGCTTTCCCAGCGCGTGTGAACGTACGCTGCTTGTTCTTTGCCTCCCAGGAACTCGTTTGAGAACGACCACTACGTGGAGTTCAGCAGACACAGCCAGGACCGGGTCATCGGCACCGAGGACCAGGTGGCACACGTAGGTACCCGAGGCGCTCCGGCCACCGGCGCGCTAGTGGCGTTTTTACCTCCGTGTCTCCGCCTGCAGATCTACGACATCCAGACGGGTCAGAAGACGGTGACCTTAAACGACCCCGCCCTGGCCAACAACTACAAGAGGAACTGCGCCACCTTCAACCCCACCGACGACCTGGTGCTGAACGACGGCGTGCTGTGGGACGTGCGGGAGGCCGGCGCCATCCACAAGTTTGACAAGTTCAACATGAACATCAGCGGCGTTTTCCACCCCAACGGCCTGGAGGTCATCGTCAACACAGAGGTCGTATCCTTTGACCTCTGACCTCTTGTCTCTAAAGACAGATGTGATGGTGGAGTTTCATTTTTTTCTCCTGTGGTGCCTCCTCCTCCTCCTCTTCCTCTTCCTCCTCCTCCAGCCGCGTATTAGTTTAAATGAAATCGTACATCTATAGCTTAGCTTAGCTTAGCCTGTGTGGGCCTGGTCAGACCTGGGGGGGCAGGTTAGCCGTTAGCACCTTGACGAGGAGCCCCCCAGTGGGACCTGAGGACCTTCCACCTGCTGCACACGGTGCCGGCTCTGGACCAGTGCAGACTGGTCTTCAACAGCAACGCCACCATCATGTACGGAGGTACGGGAGACGGGCAGCAAGGTCAACGCGTGCGTGTGTGTCTCACTCGTTACTGACTTCTACCTCCTCCCTCCCCCTCCTCCTCCCCTCCTCTCCTCCCCCCACCCTCCCCCCAGCCATGCTGCAGCCCGATGACGAGGGCGAGGCCATGGACCAGCAGATGAAGAGCCCCTTTGGCTCGTCTTTCAGAACCTTCGACGCCACGGACTACAAACCCATCGGTAGGCTGCACTTCCTGGTTGAATCCTATTGGTCGGCGCGCTGAAGTCACGTGACTTGTGTCTTTTTGTGAGATTCACCAATGATCATAATGTGAAGGCTTCTTTGTTTTACGACACATGTTGCTTGACTTGTTTCTTTATGATGTATTAATACTTGTTTATTCGTAGTACTTTAAATACTTGTTTACTGCTGGGTGGGTCTGGAGTTCACGACTGGCGCTCCCTTGTCTGCTTGTCTCCAGCCACAGTGGACGTGAAGAGGAACATCTTCGACCTGTGCACCGACTCGAAGGACTGCTACCTGGCCGTCATCGAGGTGCAGAACCCGAGTCCAGCTCACAGGACCACGTCCTTTCTAAACATTTAATGCATCACCTGATATAATACATATTTATAAATTGCATTAGGCAATAACAAGTCTGGTTGATTGTCTGTCCCTACACACGTTAGTATTGATGATTGTTCTTTGTTTTGCTTCTACTGTTTCATTTTAATTGAACAGAATAGAGGTTTGAACCACGGACACGACGCCATGTTGTTTGTCTCCCCAGAACCAGGACACCGTGAGCCTGGACACCGTGTGCCGTCTCTACGAGGTCGGGAGACAGAAACTGGCCGAAGAGGGAGACGACGACGATCAGGTGAGACGACGTTTGTTTGTTTGTTTGTTTGTTTGTATTCTCACAGCAGAAAATCTGCAAAATGCTTCACACGTCCTGTTTGGAGTGTGAAGGAGGAGGAGACGTCCTCCTGCTCTGTAGTGACGCTGAAGCAGAGGAGTCGCCCCCTGCTGGTCACTACAGAAGTGACCAGCAGGGGGCGACTCCTCTGCTCCCATAGACGTCTATGAGGAAATGACTCTACTTCTCTGTAGTGACCAGCAGGGGGCGACTCCTCTGCTCCCATAGACGTCTATGAGGAAATGACTCTACTTCTCTGTAGTGACCAGCAGGGGGCGACTCCTCTGCTCCCATAGACGTCTATGAGGAAATGACTCTACTTCTCTGAAGTGACCAGCAGGGGGCGACTCCTCTGCTCCCATAGACGTCTATGAGGAAATTACTCTACTTCTCTGTAGTGACCAGCAGGGGGCGACTCCTCTGCTCCCATAGACGTCTATGAGGAAATGACTCTACTTCTCTGTAGTGACCAGCAGGGGGCGACTCCTCTGCTCCCATAGACGTCTATGAGGAAATGACTCTACTTCTCTGTAGTGACCAGCAGGGGGCGACTCCTCTGCTCCCATAGACGTCTATGAGGAAATGACTCTACTTCTCTGCAGTGACCAGCAGGGGGCGACTCCTCTGCTCCCATAGACGTCTATGAGGAAATGACTCTACTTCTCTGTAGTGACCAGCAGGGGGCGACTCCTCTGCTCCCATAGACGTCTATGAGGAAATGACTCTACTTCTCTGTAGTGACCAGCAGGGGGCGACTCCTCTGCTCCCATAGACGTCTATGAGGAAATGACTCTACTTCTCTGTGGTGACCAGCAGGGGGCGACTCCTCTGCTCCCATAGACGTCTATGAGGAAATGACTCTACTTCTCTGTAGTGACCAGCAGGGGGCGACTCCTCTGCTCCCATAGACGTCCATGACAATATTTATGGTCTCAATCTTTAGTTTCATGTCTTCTTCAATACAGCGTGAGCTTCATTTAGTGAATGATGGTCACTTCCTGTTGAACAGAAACCGGCTTTAGAGATACACACTTTATTAGTCATCTTTACATTTCATTATTCTGAAGATGCGTTCAAGTGCAACTCTTGTGGTCTGCTGCTGATGAAATCGGTAAAGTCAGTTAAGTCTTGAGTCGCACGTTGTGTCGTCCTTTAGGATGAAGACCAGGACGATGATGACGACTCCTCGGACACCGACGATGACGACGACGACGACGATGATGAGGATATGGACCTCGATCCGCTCTTAGAGGAGCTGGCCAATAACAGCGACCCGGAGAACGAGGACGGACCGAACTATTCTTCCAATGAAGAGGTGAAGGACGGTTATCCCTAAAATAATTATTTCATGATTGATTTCTCAGTCGTCTTCAATTGATTTTATTCCACATTGAGGTCAATAGTTTCACACTCGCATTTTTCTCTTTGATCTTGATTTTCAAAATAAAAGTCCTTTCTCCGAGGAAATGGAACCATCATGACTTAATGTAGAGTAACACAGTAAGGATGACATAAAATACGCTTTTATCACTTTAATAATCTGATTTAAAAAGAGGCTGTATGTGTTAAACATTTTAAACTTCACATCCTCTGTGTTGACTTTGTGACGTTCGCTCAGTTCCTGGTTCTATGGTCACATGACTCCTGGTCTCAAATGAATCAATCATGATGTCATCGTGTAACGGAGGAGCTCAGAATCTGGTTAAATCAAACGGTTTGTTAGTGTGAGAGAGAAGCCCTTCCTGAGGGAAGCATCTGTCACACGCGATGCCTTCAAAGACCGTGGGAAGTCGGACGACTCTTTTAAACTCCTTCCCTCAGATTGCAGATCTTCTCGCCAGCGGCGGCGGCGAAGACTCGGACCAATCGGACGGGAGTGACGATGAATCCGACTTATTGGACTGGGAGAACTGTTAGTGGTGCTTTACCAGCTTAACTGGTTGAATATTCACATTACTTGATGTAATGTGAGTATTATACTTATTCATGCTGTGTGTGTGTGTGTGTGTGCGTGTGCGTGTGTCCGTGCTGCAGACCTCCCACAGCCCTCCGATGATGAGAACCGAACCCTTCAGGACCTCAGTGACGGCTGGTCCTCCTGACGGAGACGCGAGCCTCTTTTTAAGGTTTCATCGGGACGCTGATGATCAATAAATGTCTCAATCGGATGAAAACTCTTCACTTTGTTTCAGGAGAATCATTCATGTTTATGTCCCATGTTTACACATGTACTGTATTTATATTCGATCGATAGGAACAGACAGGTGTTTATAGTCCCTCCTCCCACCCGGTGTCACTCAGGTGGGATCTCGAATCTCACAAACCTTTGAGCCATAAATGTTTTATAGAAATATCTCTTAACTACTGAAGCTCAGCAGGAAACGCTGATGTTTGTTTTTGTCTCCAACGAACACTTTTCTGTCTAAAGATCGGAGCCGAACGTCGTCTTGGTTCTGATGACGATGCTTTTCTGTTGAATCCTTTGTGAATAAAGAGGCGTCAGTGATCCGCTGTGTAGTGACTTTAACAACTAGAGGTCAGTGTTGCACCATGGGTAGTATTCACAGTGCTGTGACCCACAGTGGAGTACTACCCAGCAGTATACCGTGTTCTCGTGTACTTCAACATGAGGCGACTCATTAAGACGGATTTCACTGGTAATCAACTTTCTCTGAGCGCCGGAAGATCCAAAGTACTCTCAAAGTACACAGTCGAGGTGTTTGTACATCACTTGATTCTTTCGTTACATTTAGTGAGGAGCCCTTCTGTACTCTAATTATAGACCTGAATCTTTGTGATGGTCTCGTCTCCTCTCACATGAGAAGTTTAATTTGGTGGCAAAGTTATAAAAAAAATAACTTAGGAAGAAGCTCTGAATGATGTTCAATAAGCCACAAATGATTGTAGTTTGATAGTTCTGAACCACTTTGGAATGAATGAGACTTAAAGGTCAAAAGTCTGCGTCTTTGCACAATAACCAGCTAATTGGAATGCGTCCATGAGGGATTTAATATTTAAGTCTTTGTTGTTCACATAAAGATACGTAGGAAACATTTATGTTCGTTTTTATTCTGTTTGAATTCAGCTCGACTCCTAAAGATTCTTATTTGTATAATATCATTTTACAAGTCATTAAAAACATCCTCATCTTTTGTAGTCCTCCTAAATTTCTGTTTTCGAAAGTTTTTTTTTTTTAAACCCTTGAGTGACGTCATACGCCCCTCAGGTGAGATCAATAAGTCATAATTAACTCCATTAATTCCACTCAATCAGCAGCGCGGGTTTAGTTATTCTAAATAATAATAATTTAGTTATTCTAAATAATTATTATTTAGTTATTCTAAATAATTCTCACTCAATGTCTGTATCGTCTTACTAAGTAAAGAATAGGACACTTACTCAGTGTGTTTAGTTTAACATCCTGTTGACCAATAGGAGAGCGTTCACATGACAACATGTTCATATCTTAATAAATAAATGTCTTCATAGGCATGTGACCGCGTTGAACAGCGCGCACGCTGCCGCTGTTTGTGTGCGTCATGACACTAGTGCTCACTTTAAGGATCTGGTGCCCCCCCCATCCTACCCCCCCGTAATACTCTCCATCTGCAGGCTGATCCGCTTAAACTCACGTGGGCTTCCTGCGCGCGACTCTCCCGGTTCGTCCTCAGCGCGCGACGCACCGACACCGGACCAGATGTCTTATATAATATAATAATAAATAGTCTACATGTATGTACATGTATGTGTGTATGTACATGTATGTGTGCATAGATTCTTCATCTGACGGCTGCGGCGGGAGGAAGAGGAGGAAGAGGAGGAGGATGCTGCGCTGTTTGTCTCTCCCGGTGGTCGCTTTCTCCCCGGGTGTCTCTGCCCGGTAATCGACGGGACACGGACCGGATCTCCTCCCTTCAGAACACCTGAGGAGGGACTTTGGGTTTTGGACAGCTGAAGTGACCCCCCCCCCCTCTACCCCCCATGAAGCGACGCGCTGTGTGATTTACTCTCTGTGGACATCATGTGGACTCCGACTGAGGACGAGAAGATCGGAGTGGGTGAGTCTAGTTTTACTAATGTCAATACTCATATATTAGATAGTATTTCTATACTCTATCTATAGTATTTAAATATTACATATAATAAGCACTAAGTACTGTGTCAGTGTACTTCTAAAGTATTTTGTCTCCTTTCTGTTCCCCGGGACTCTAATCTGAGTCTTACTGTGTGTGTAGTACTGTGTGTGTAGTACTGGGCGTCTTGTGATACTCTGGATTCATACGGTGTACTATCACAGTTATCACAGTACATATTCTATGCCCCCCCCCCCCCCTCATTCTGCACATTAACACGACGGGTCGATGTGATGAAACAAGATCCAAACTCTCAGTCCAGCAGAATGAGAGCAGCAATTACAACATGCAAAGTCCCCCCCCCCCCCCCCCCCCCCCCCCCCCCCCAAAGCCCCTCTGCCCCCACCACCGATTGATTGACAGCCCCCCCCCACGTGTGATGAGGGAGGGATCACAGACAGGAAGTCAATGTGAGGAATCAAGACACCTGCACTCTGCTAATGGGACAGAGACGCCAGCGGAATGTAAACCAGTGTGTGTGCGTGTGCTGTGTGTGTGTGTGTGTGTGTGTGTGTGTGTGCGTGTGTGTGTCTATATTCAACCCAAAAATACTTCTTTCCTCCATATATTTGTATTTTGAATACATTGTTGTATTTTACTTAAAACTGAAACTTCCAGGTTCACGTTTGTTTTTCGAATGATGAACATCTGCACTGAGAGTGACTCATCACCATGGAAACGATGACTCAGCAGAAACGGGCATGTCCTCTGATCCGTAAAGAGACCTGGGCCGAGGACATCCCCTCCGTGGGGACGTAGGGGGGGGGGGCTGTCTATGCTGGCTGCGTCTGTGCATACCAAGGCAGTGGGGGGGGGACTAGCGCCTGGTTGTAGAAAACAGCCATTCAGGGTGATGAATGCAGCTTTGTGGCCCCATAGAGGACCATGAATGCCGCCCCCCCCCCCCCCCTCCAGGGCCGCACAGCACTCGGTTCTCACACTCTGAAACGTTGTTGCTCATTTCAGGCCGTTGTTGTTTTAAAGGGTTCCGGATCAAATCAAAAACATCCGTCATTAATCGGATCCATCGCTCATCAGCAGGTCATGTGATGTTCTGGTCGGATGTTGACGTTGCCGTGGTGACGTGGTGAAGCCTCAAGTCTGATAGTTTGTAGTTTGGTATCTTACTTTGTGACCATTTAGGGACCAAAGACGACGTAGGGACGCATTTTTGTCTCTGGTAGACACCTGTCAGTCAGTGTGTAGCTCCGCCCTAAAGCGTCTCCTGCTTTATGGTCTGTTTGACTCTAAATGGACCATCAGTCACTAAATGAACATCACGCTGTATTGAAGAAGACGTGAAACTAGAGACTGAGACATAAACTCATGTTTACAACGTTTACTGAGGGAATAAATCAAGAGAGAAGTAGAGTCATTTCCTCATAGACGTCTATGGGAGCAGAGGAGTCGCCCCCTGCTGGTCACTACAGAGAAGTAGAGTCATTTCCTCATAGACGTCTATGGGAGCAGAGGAGTCGCCCCCTGCTGGTCACTACAGAGAAGTAGAGTCATTTCCTCATAGACGTCTATGGGAGCAGAGGAGTCGCCCCCTGCTGGTCACTACAGAGAAGTAGAGTCATTTCCTCATAGACGTCTATGGGAGCAGAGGAGTCGCCCCCTGCTGGTCACTACACAGAATGCAGCTTTAACACATGAAGCTTTGACTTAGAGAAGCAGAGGTGGTCTCCTGGTAACGATGGAGGAATCATTAACTACGTATCTGGATCCTGTGATGGTAAAGTACAGGAAGTCCTCCTCATGTCCATCCCTTCTTCTTCTCTGGTCTGTTCGTCTCTTCTGACCTACTTTCATCTGCTGCTGGTATTCCTGTTCGTCTGTCACGCTGAGTCCTTTCTGCTGGAGGCGTGGGGGGGGGGGGGGGTCCCTCCTTCAGTGATGGAGCGACCTGACGGAGGTCTGTAAAATGACTTTAATCACCCCCCCCACCCCCCCTCCCTCGTGTGTGTTGCTGAGGCCTCACAAAGACGATGCTCAGACTTTCTTCTTAATGTCCTCAATTCTCTGGACCCCAACAAGCAGTTTGGGGACTTGTTTGCTCCCGTCAAGTTGTTGCTGTTGTTTTATATTCACGGTGTTACGCCGAGTTCTGGTCACATGACAGCTGATCTCCGATGAGTCAATGAGGATAAAGATGACGTCATAGTTTCACTGAGCAGCTCTGGCTTGAATGTTTTTTAACGAGAGTCCGAATAAAAGAAACGTGTTTTGATAAATGACAGTGAAATGTTGTTTTTGGATGTAAGCTTGTGTGGCTGCTCACGTTGAAGGACGGCCTTTCAGTTCAGAGGGTTTAACGAGTGAATTATTCATGTCGCCTCATCTCCTGATGTAAGAAGTCTCTTCCTGTGTGTGTGTGTGTGTGTGTGTGTGTGCGCAGGCTTTTGTATAGCATTACATAGTGTGTCTTATGTAACTCTCCATTGGTTTGGTCTCCAACGTTGCTCTCTTTGTTTGTCTGACAGCTCCAACCCCAGTGCATTGTGGGAGGATCTTTTCTCAGATTCTCCTAAAACTGTCTCTGTCTTCATCTCAAATGTCCAGATGTCCTCTGATTCGGGACATTAATTAATCTCACATATCTTTTTAGAGGGATTCCGGTTTTAGTTGTAAACACTTTAATAATGTTTGAAGTTGTGGTTCCTGAGGACATGGACGGTCTTCTGTGTCTCTGCTCAGCTTCCTCTCCTGTCACGTAGACATAAAGTTTTGAATTGTGCTTCGTGTTCCAGAGAAAGAGTTCTAGTGTGTCTGTCCTCGCCGTGGTTACGCTGGGTTCTGACTTAAAGACACTCCTGCTAGCAAGAGCGGTTCCGCTGTCGCTATAGCAACAGCTTGGGCTTTCTCTGCCATGGCCGCTGGGGGGTCAAACATATCGTCTTTGACCTGACCAGTAAAGCCAAAGACAGGGTCAAAGGTCACTTTTATAAATATTGAACTTATCTTATGTTTAAATACCAAAAGAATCTGATTCAGACCGAAGGGATTCTGAGCGACTTAAACGAGACTAATGGCGCGTTTCCACCGAGCGGGTCGGTACCGGTCGGGTCTGTTAACCATGATTTGGCGAGCATTTCCACCGCCAACAGTACCCTTACTTGATAGGCGTGGTGTATTCCAGAAAGCAGTGATGACGTCACTTGATGGGCGTGGTACATGACGGAAAGTAGATTGACGTCATTCGATCGCGCGAAAACTGAAAGCTAACCGCAAACAACAACGGAGGACGGACAGCCGATCCTGTTCCTGCTTCTCCACATGTGGCCGTTTGTCACAAGGAGACGACACTCTTTGTTTGAGCAAAGGCTGCATGCTGCAGGCGTGTTACGTGTGTTGTCTTTCCCCTTGCGGCACGCGCAAATGACGACACTCTTTCAACCAATCAACACTCTGCAGTGAGTCTAGCTCCGCCCTTTAGTACCAAACAACTGTGCCAGGTGCCCCAACGGAAGGGAACCCAAAGAGTGCTACGGTACGGTACGAATTTTTGGTACCATTCTCAACTTTTGGCAGTCGACCCGTAGCGTACCGTACCGCTCGGTGGAAACACACCATTAAAGATCATGTGACATATTTCTATTGTTTCATATGTATATATTACTTAAATCCGCTCTAACGTGTTTGTGTGCCCAATATTAACAACAATG